CCCCAAAACCCCAAAACCCCAAAACCCCAAAACCCCATCATCCTAAAATATAATAATAACCCACACAAAAATGGATAACCACCCACAGCCCCCTCGGCTGCCCTTCACGCCCAGTTTCGACCCATCCCAGCTACCACCGCCCCCTCCACCTGAGGCCATGCAGTACTTCCCTCCTCCACCTCCTTTGCCACCGCCTCCACCTCCAGTTGCAGTTGCAGTAGGTCCAAGACAGCATTATCAGCCTCTACAACATCCTCATGGAATGGGTAAGATTTGATCTTTAGAAACCTCGCTTAGTTGGGTTCTTAGCGATTAATTTTAGAGTTTAGTTTAAGAAAATATACTAAATTACTTAAAATATTTCAAAGTTTGTCGAATAGAAGAGGCCCAAGTTATTTAACTTAGATTCAGTCTTTGGATATATTTTAGAATTCCATATAATTAGTTATTACTCTCTTCTGAGGAAATTCATAAAAATTGACTTACAAAGTAAAAAAAATATGCTAAAGTATTTTGATTAGTTTAGATCTAGAGTATTTGTTGCATATGTAAAGCCAACATAGTTTTATCTTAAAAACGAATAGGAATTTCGTTATCTTAATAGTTGATCATCTATTTAATTTCAAGCTCTCCATAATATTGATTAATGTTTTTAAACAGAATAAACCTGATGAAATTTCAATGTACTTTTTCCTGCAATTACTTAAACTAAATCACTTCCTCAAAATATCAAAAAGCAACTCTCCTATATAATTCAAATCTGATACCCCCTAAACCTCAATTTCTTCCAAAACTAAGATTGGTCCACAAAATGATACAAAAACTCCCTATCAAAACCCTAAATTTCAAAATACGCTATTAATACATTTTCAAAAAGTGTTCCCACCTCAAAACAGCACATATAGACTCAATGAGCGTCGGCCAGATAATAACATACTCCAACGACCCTGACCAAAGCTTGATCTACAAGAAAGGCCAGTACATCCCAAAAGACATTCAGCAAAAAGTAGTCCAAGCCATAAACGTTATCCAAGATATCGAAATGAAAGCAGGCATGGACATCTGCTGAAGTAACCCCGATTACAAGAAAATCAGAGCAAGGAGATACTCTTCCAGCAGCTCTAGTAGAAGTTATAGCCGTGGAAGAAGTTCTGGCTCAAGCTCCAGCTCTATTGAAGAGTATAATCATCCTAAGAAGGCATCCAGGTTCGCCCAGATCGGAGACCAGTACCATAGAGAAGAACGAGGCTCTAAAAAGCACTCTAGACCAATCAAGAAATCCAACAGCAATTCCCACATGGATGATATGGGTTTGCTCTCTGATGGTAGAGCCAGGCTATCAGCAGCAGGAGTCGTCACTGAGAGAATAGGGCTAGGCTCAACTGACAAGAAGGGTGACCTCATGAATGTAGAAGATTTTAGAATGAAAATGGGAATTAAGTTTCAAGAACACAATGATAAAAGAAACAGAGACTCCGCTGGAGGCCAGAGATGATACAAGTGTAACAAGCCTGGTCATATAGCCAAAGATTGCTCTTATGGATTCTCATAATTGGCTTCAAACTTGAAATAAAACGTCAAACTCATTTCAATCCAGCATAAATCTGAGGGGTTTTGGGGTTTTGGGGTTTTGGGGTTTTGGGG